CATTTTACAGAGCAAGAAACTGAGGCCCAGTCAGAGAGCCACTCTCGCAGGGACACCCAGACTCTAGACCTCCATTAAATCTCAGAGCCTCTGTTTTCTAGATCTTATTTTAAACAGTAAACACTAAAATTGCTGGTAACCAAGAGGTACATATGATTTCCAAGGCCAGTGCAAACATTTAAAATTTCCTTTTTCACTTCAACATTCATCACTCCCATTTCAAGTCATATAGATTTACCATTACTGAAGAATGAGCTATGTCCCCAGAACATTCAGGCTGACCCAGCAAGGAACCCCAAGCAGCAAGCCCAGGCCTGATTACCTAGACTTCTGAATCCCTTAACCACACCAGGGCCTGCACCCTCCTCCTCTTTCCCAGGACTGACGGAGGGTCTATTCTTTCCTGCCCATCTCTGCTACAAGTCAGTGCCCCCTGCCCCCCAAGGAATCATTTGGCTTGAAGTCCCGAAATTCGGTAAGCCTACATACATCTTGCAGATGGGAGTGTTGCCTGATTAAGGGGTGGTGTGTGTGTGTGTGTGTGTGTGTGTGTGTGTGTGTGTGTGTACACACCCGCGCGGGAGCCCGCATGTGTCAATGTGTAGTACAGGAGGAAGTTACGATGTTGGCATGGTTGGGGGATGTGGGCTCAAACGTTCTGAGGCTGAGGAGATGCCCAGTAATAATCACATTTCTTCCTCAGTGAGGTTCATTTCCCCCCATTTAAAGGTGAAAAGTGGGATTCAGATCCAGGTAGTTTCAGAAACTTCCCGGTGACAGGTGTGGAAAGGACGGGGTGGGAAGTTGGGGACCAGGAGGCCAAACAAGAATCCTTCTGCACCCATGCAGTGTTGTGAAGGTTCCAAAACGGACTTTGCTTCCATTCGGGTCCCCAGGAGCCGAGCTTCACCATCCCTCCGAATGAGCAGGAGGGATGGAGGGGAAGGTCTGGGGGAGACGCTGCCTGCGGGGCTCTGGCCCATTCTCCCGCTGCCCCCCGAGTCCTGGCGCAAACCCTTCTAGCTACCCGCTCCAGCTGTCAGGCTTCCTCCTTCTCGGCCCAGCAGCCCTACCCCAGCCCGAGCAGCGGCCCCTCCCGCGGCCCCCGCCCCCTTCTGCTCCAGTGGGAGGGAGGGAGGCGCGGGGGGTTCGCGGGGTCTCTACCTTGCCTGCGGAGGGCGCGCGGTGGGAGCTGAAGCGCGGCGCGGGAGCTGGAGCCCGAGCTGGGCTGGAGGGGACGGACCAGGCAGGCGCGGCTGCCGCGAGGCCGCCCCGTTCCTGACGACACAGCTGCCCGCCCCCGACCCCGGCCGGCCCGCCTGCGCCCAATCCCGGCGCCCCCAACTCCGGGAACTCCAGTCTGGAGACGTCCCTGTTTCCAGCTCGCCAAGCCTGATCTTCCCACCTCCCCAATATCTGTAGGGCTCTGGTCTGCGCCACTTTCTCCACATCCTGCGCTTCTCATCTTCCCGCCTCGGGACAGCTCGGTTTCTATCCATCTGCCCTTTTTTCTAATCATTCACAGCCTCTCCCCTCATCCCAACCCTGGGAGGCCAAGATAGGGGGCGGGGCCGATGATGGCACAGCTTGGCAGCGGCACACCTAGGCGACGTCTAACCCTCTCCCAGTTGCTGCCATCTGGGGGACTTCCCTTCCCGACTCTTCTCCATCCTCCATTGACCGAATTCATACTCAAAAGATCCCACAGCAGCAAGCCCAGAGTCCCAGACTCTACATCCTGACACACAAACGCCCCCCTCCTCCCATGGGCTCTGCACTGCTTAACAGTGTTTGAGGCCTACCTTTACCTCTAGTTTCCTCACCTCCCTAAAACCCAAACCCCAGATGGCTCAGACTTGTTTTCCCCAATGTAAGTACACCTCCTTGTCTCAAGACTCACGGCCTTCCCTTAATTCTGGGGTGGTTTAGGTGCAAAGAGAACTCTGGTCTGTGTCCACTCTTTCTCCATGCCCTAACCCTCCCATTTTACCTGTTGGCCCTGGCAGGTGGTGTAGAAGGCCCTGGCCAAACGTAAGGTTGAAAGAAGATCCTTTCAGCAGTTCCTGTCTGGAAACGTCTGAAGTTAAGGCTCTTAGGGCAGCATGGATGATGGTGAGGCTGGTAGTGCAAGGGAGATAGACAGAGGCCTAGGACTAACTGGTAGGAACTGGGGACCCAGGCATCCTGCTCCTTGGCCCCGCCCCAACCCAGGCTAACCCCTCCTAACCCTCATTGAAGTAGGGCACAGTAACAAGGGCTTGATTTCCTGGAATCTTTCCTTTTAACAGCTGGTGGTAGAAGAGAGGGGGAGGGGAAAGCTCTGACTGGAAGCCTGTGCGTGTGTGGTGTATATATGTTGTGTATGTGCGCGGGCGCGCGCGCGTGCGCGCGCGCACACACACACACACACACACACACACACAGTATATACATACTTTTGGTGGGGGTTGGAGAGGAGAAGGAATGAATATGAGGCCCTCTAGTGGAAACAGAGGGATCTAAGCAGTTCTTGCTTGTTTCCAGACAGGCTTGTTGGAAGAGAGTCCTCCATTTTTATCAGAAATATAGCTGCTGAGTAATAGGGTTTGGGAGTACTGTTGCATCTGAAAATCTGAGGGAGATGAAAGGGATTGGAGAAAGTCTGTCTCTCTGCTCCTGACTCCCAGTCTTAAAAAGACAAGGGGCCTGCCACTCCCCATCCTTTATCCACCCCCCCTTTTTTTTCAATATTTTATTTTTAACTAATCTCCACACCCAATGTGGGACTTGAATTTACAACCCCAAGACCAAATGTTGCATGCTCCACCCACTGAGCCAGCGAAGCACCCCTATCTCCCCTTCTTATATGACCTCTTTAGTCATAAAGAGTCAAGAGCACTTTTGAAGGCCCATTATGCACCAGGTCCTGTACTTAGTTCTGTAGGACAGCCAAAGACACAGCCCAGCTTAAGGACTGCACCAATGAGTAGCTTGGGTGTGTGTGTGTGTGTGTGTGTGTGTGTGTATGTAAAGCCTTACGACTCTAAGCCATCATAAACAAACAATATAAGAAAGCACAAGTCCCATACTACCTTTTCCAGTTTTCTGCTCCTGGACCCTTCATCTAGAAATTCTGGAATGATACCAAGCCTAAGGCACTCAGCTTTCCTTGCAAATATCACTAGCAGTGATACCATCCTACATATGACCTGTGTTTTTCATTCCATCATCCTCAGTTATGTCCTTGTTTGAAGTTAAATTGTTCCTCTAAAGACCTCTTTTTTTCTGAGACTTCAAAGTGGAGCATAGGGTGATCTCTAATAAGGAATAAAGTGAAACAGTCATACTCTAGGCTTCTTTGTGTCTTCTTTAGGATCTCTACTCCATCATACCTCGTCAGTTATTGGTGGGGATGGGAGGGGAAGAAAGGCCCAGAAACTTCTAAGGAGGAGGCGTATAATGCCTACTGTTCCAGGTGCTCATTTCTTTAACCAACCACATCATAAAAATCAGAAAGAAAGAAACCGCAATGAACAAAGGAAAAGGAAAAAACAACAGCTTTGTTCTCCCCAGGCTCTTCTTTCTCCTCTTCCTTCTTAGGGTGTATGTATGTGTGTGGGGGGGGGAGGGGGGCACATCCGGGGCCCAGGGCTGGGTCCTAGGCAGGTTTGCCCGGCAGACAACTGAGTTTCACTTCCTGTCAACCCCAGAGCTGAGGCAAGACATCAGGGGGCATGGTGGGGGTTGGGGGGGGGTTGTGCTGGGTAGTCAACTGGGGCCACTTTAGGATTCCATTCATTGAGCAGCCTACTACTACTAGTTCTAGTTCTCAGGTAGTCAGGACCAATACATCCCTCTAGTTTTTAAAGGCTTCCTCCCACATTCTCACCTCTAATAATCATTAGTAACAAGGCTAAGGACAGGATGCTGATCCTGTGAGGCTGAAGCACAATTGTTGAAAGAGAGCAGGGGTTAAGGATGGCAGCGTTACAACACCTGCAATGTTGTGTACTGAATGCAAATCAATTTTTAAAGGAGTCTCTTTGAGACCTTCTGAGTTGGGCCTCTGGTGGAAGTCAGGAAGGTGGAACATAGACTAGAAGACAAGCTGAGACCTGAGAAAACTTCAAAAGTTTCATGTCAACCCTTTAGGAAGTTCCTAGTCCGTCATTGCTCTCACTTTTTTTTCCTTTTCTCACCTTTTTTGTTTTTTAAGTAGGCACACAGCCTAGTGTTGGAGATCGTAATATTTGCCCCTCTCTACGGGTTCCAGAGGTACAGTTGGACATGAACCTAAACCAAAATGGGGGATTTGGAGGAAGGTAAAAGAGTCCATAAGGAAAGAACAGCGTGGAGAGGGCAGAGCCAACACCTGAGGAGAGGAACCTGAAGTCGGTCCCTCCCAGGCTGCAGGGGAAACGAGTTTAGCAGGATTTAGCCCTCAAGGATCAACGGCTGCTGCAAAGAACGGGGGAGGGAAAACATTTGGGTACATCTAAAGAGTAGGGAGGCAAGGGGCAGGGCAGGACTGCAAAGGGAGTGACCGTACAAGCCCGGACCATTGGCGAGTTGCCCGGGGCTTTGGATCCTCAGTGCCCAGACCTACACGAGGTTAATTAGAATATTAACTGGCTCCGCCCAGAAGCGTTCACCCTGCCCTCCGACCCTGGGGCCCAGCCTAAGGAGGCTCCCGGGGTCGAAGGCCAGAGCAAACTTGGGCCATCGTCTTTTCGCCGCCTGAATCCTCCGGGCCGCCCCAGGGGCAGGGCCAGCCAGGGCTGCCCGCCCAACCCGGCCCGCCGCCTCCTCGGTCGTGGAATTCGCCGGCAGCCCTTAGGCTGCGGGGACAGGTGACCGGACAGCAGCACCCCCTGCCTTGCACGCCCCTTTCGCGGATCTGACCCGAGGGTTGAGCTGGGTAGCCGAGGGCAATCGACACGCGATTTCGACCTCTCCACCTTCTAAGAGAGGGTCAGTTGGGGGTCTTCCATTCGTCCCTGACAAGATTGGTGCGTTACCGGAGTTTGGCCGCCCCATGTCCCGAAGCCGCTCTGGGACCTGGGTGCAGGCTAGGGCCTGAATACTCTAACTCATTTATCAGCCCCACTTTCGGGGTGCAGGTGGGCCTTGCCCCCTTTTCCCTCGAAGGTCCTGGACGGAGAGGAGCCGTGCCCCAGAACTTCTCTCGGTGCCCAGAGGACTGTTTTACACGGAGCAGACGCCCAATATTGGATTCAGTGGCAGTACTAGAGTCTGCGGCTTTTATTTTATGAAAGTCTTTAGCTTCTACTCTCTTCCTCCTCCGTTCACGAAACGGTGTACTCTCCCTTTAAGACTAAAATGGTGGCTGGCTACGATCAGGACTCCACTTCCGGTGGGGAGGGGGCGGGACCCCAGCCCGCTCACGCCGGAAGTGGTTTGCGTTTTCAAGATGGCGACTCCCTATGTAACTGACGAGACCGGCGGTGAGTGCGGGAGGCGCGGAGCCGCTTCTCCCCGGGCTCTCGGGGCAGGGGTTCGGACTTGGAAAGGGGTCTGTGCCCCGCCCATCCCGGGGCCCCTCCTTTGCCCCGCCCTCCGGACCGCCTTCCCCATTCATTCTCTCCTGTGGGGTGTCACCTGCGCCCCCTTCTGGTCTCGTGTTTGGGGGTCTCCGCTTCCGGTCACCCAAGCCCTGGGGTCCTCCAGTGCAGGTTCCTGCTCCAGGACCCTCACAGGCCCTTACCTTTTCTTCAGCAGCTGGAGATCTCGTATCTCTTTTGGCTTCTCCAGGCTTGGGAGCTCTTAACACTCTCGGTTCCCTCCAATTCCTGCTTTTCTCCTGTTCCCCTCCCCCATCTTTCAGCGGTACCTGCCTTCTGCCCTACCCCAGCCCCATTTTAATTCCTATTCTTGAAGCTGTATCTGTTGAAGACTTCCTCATTGCTTTTGTGTAGACTTCCTGCATAATGCTTTTTCCATTCTCTCCCACATCTTCATTGTTGGGTTACTGAGGTTCAGAGGTGTGAATGGAACAGTAACCTAGTATAACTTTAAACTTGAGTTTTCTTTTTGATGGCACCACCTTGCTGTACTTTTCTGGTGGTGATGGTGATAAAAGTTGAGGGATCTGAGGTGGAAGAAGGCAAACGAGGTGTCTAATGGCCTCTCAAGCCCTCTGACAAGTTCATAGAACCCACTATAAATTCTGCCTAGAGAAGAATTTCCAGCCTGGCTGATTGAGATGAAGTGTCCACTGTGTATGGAGGTTTCTGTGTTGAAAACTGAGAGTCAATATTTTCATTTTGATTTTGTCCCATCCTTATTTCCTCATCTGTAGAAACATGGGCATAGTGATATCTACCTAGTGACCATTAAATAAGGTAGCGTATGTGCAAGCAATTTATAAAATGCTGTGCAAGGCAAGGTGTTAATGTTTTTTGTAGCCTTCACTGTGTATGTGTAGTCTTCTGTAGAAGTGACACTGTGTATACTGTGGTTGGTACATACAGTCTGTTTTAAAAATGTGCCCTTTATTTGTTGCTTTGCTGCTTTCCATGTTCCTTACATCTCAGTCCACCTCTCCTATGGTATCCTATGGCAAGCCAGGTCTCTCTGCTACTTCTCCTCAGCCTCACATTTCAAAGTGGTACACAGAACTTCTGTTTTCTATTCAGTAGGTCCTTCTTCTACCAGCTCCTTTAATACGTGCTTCGAAAATATTGCTCATCGTCCACTACACTTTTCTTTATTCTTAACGATTTTCTTTAAACACGTATCTTCTGTTCTCTGTGACTATGTAGAAGAGAAGGAATCACACTGCTTTTTTTTCTTTCCCCTACTACTTCCAGATCATTGACCTACCACCGTCACTCTAATCTCTGTGAAGGTATTGCCATGCAGTTAGAGCATTGTCTCTAAAACTTCAGGGCCATCATTTATTGCCCACAAGGACCCAGACCTATTGCATCATACTTTTTTTCTCCACTGTTTCTTGCTCTTATTCTCAGTGTCTCCAGCATCTTTGAAATACTGATCTTATAGTTCCTCAGCACAAGACAGTTGACTTTCCTTTGTTTTTTTTTTTTTTCCAACGTTTTTATTTATTTTTGGGACAGAGAGAGACAGCATGAACGGGGGAGGGGCAGAGAGAGAAGGAGACACAGAATCGGAAACAGGCTCCAGGCTCCGAGCCATCAGCCCAGAGCCTGACGCGGGGCTCGAACTCATGGTCCGCGAGATCGTGACCTGGCTGAAGCCGGACGCTTAACCGACTGCGCCACCCAGGCGCCCCCCTTTGTATTTTTAAAGTAGCTACACGTCAGATCACTACAACCTGGACCTATTACGCTACTTCCCCTTCAGGTGCTCTTTATCACTTTAGCCTCCTTACTAGTTACCTTTTTCACTCCTTCCCATCCACAGATTCCACTTTTTGCCCTTCTGAGGTTCTTAACTTTTCCCATTTCATTGAGTCTACCAGTACCTTCATGACTATCTTTGATGCTGCTCTGCTAGACCTTAGTGACCAGCCACTTTGATACTATCTTCATTGTTTGCTTCATTCATTTTGATCTTCTGTATTTGGCAAGCACTTCTGTTATCTTGAATCATACTCATCACCTATTTTTTTGGCTTCCGTGTCTAGACCACCCACAGCACATGGCTAGTGAAAAAGTGGCAAAACCTGTACATTCAGTGTAATATAACTTAGTGTTAACTTCTGCCAACATCATGGCTTCTCTCAAATTCTTTTTTCTTGGTTTGCTTACATTCTACCATGGCTTTTCCCCAACCTTTTCCAGCACTCTGTGACCTCCCTTTTAATTCCCCCCTCTTGTAGCAGATGTCTTCACTTTCTATTTCATGGAAAAGTCAAGGCCTAGCCTTTGTTTCTTTCCTGTTCACAGCCCGATTTCTTGAATATCAGGTCTACCCATACTGTTTTCATTTTCTCACTCTTATTTGTCCTTTAGCTTTTTACAGTTTTGTTTCTAGCACCAACCTCTCTCCTTAGTTGCTATTTCCCTTTTCTAATAGATTGGTGAATAACTTTTATTCTTGAATATACTGTCACACCTTAAATTCAATCTGCCCAAAATCAATATCATTTTTTCCTTATTTTGTTAATGGCATCCTCGTCCTAGCCAACCCAAGATCCATTTTTTGTACCATCTCTTTTTAATTTTAAATAGACTTTATTTTTTAGAACAATTTTAGATTTATAGAAAACTTGAGAAAATGATAGACAATTCCCATATATTCAGTTTCCCTTATTATTAACATCTTACATTAGTATGGTACCATTATTGCAGTTAATGAACCAATATTGATGCCATTATTATTGACTAAAGTCCATACATCATTCAGATTTCCTTATATTTTAAAGATTTCATTTTATTTAAAAATTATTTTTATTTATTTTTCAAAAAATTTTTAACGTTTCTTTATTACTGAGAGACAGAGACAGAGCATGAGCATGGGAGGGGCAGAGAGAGGAGGAGACACAGACTTTGAAGCACGCTCCAGGCTCTGAGCACAGAGCCCGACACGGGGCTTGAACTCACAAACGGGGAGATCATGACCTGAGCCAAAGTCGGACGCTCAACTGACTGAGCCATCCAGGCGCCCCTTTTATTTTTATTTTTCTTATTTAAAAAAAATGTTTATTTTGAGAGAGAGAGTGCACCCGTGTGCACACACATGTGTGCACACATAGTGTGTGCAAGCAGGGGAGGGGCAGAGAGGGAGAGAGATGATCCCAAGCTGGCTTCACTCTGTCAGCACAGAGTTCAACACAAGGCTCTATCCAACAAACCGTGAGATCTGACCTGAGCTGAAATCAAGAGTCAGACACCTAACCGACTGAGTCACCCAGGTGTCCCTATTTATTTTTAGAGCGTGAGCTGGGGAGAGAGGCAGAGGGAAAACGAGAGAATATGAAGCAGGCTCCATCCTCAGCACGGAGCCTGATGCGGGGTTCAATCTCAGGACAGTGAGATCATGACCTGAGCTGAAGTCAAGAGTCAGATGCTTAATCGACTGAGCTAGCCAAGTGCCCCAAGATTTTATTTTTAAGTAATTTCCACACCCAACGTAGGTCTCAAACTTAACAGCTCTGAGATCAAAAGTTGCATGCTCTTCCCATTGAGCCAGCCAGGTGTCCCAGATTTCCTTAGTTTTTACCTAATTTTTTTTTTTTCTGTTCCAAGATCCCATCCTGGTTACCCTATTACTTTTAGTTCTCATGTCTCCTTAAGCTCCCATTAGCTGTGATAGTTTCTCAGATTTTCATTGTTTTTGATGAGGAATTTTGAGGAGTGCTAATCAAGTATTTTATAGGATGCCTCTCTATTGGAATTTATCTGATGTTTTTCTCATGATTAGATTGGGGTTATGTGTTTTTTGGGGATAATCACAGAGGAAAAGTGACATTTTCATCATATCAAGGGTACAATATCATAATGTTTTTACTGTTGATATTGACCATGATTGTGGTCACCTGGCTGAAGTCGTATTTGTAAGCTTTCTCCAGTATAAAGTTATCCTTTTTTCCTTCTCTTTTCCATACTATAGTCTTTAGAAGAAAGTGTCTATTCACAGCCTATACTTACGTTTCCTTCCTTAAGGATGGAGTATTTACATATGTTATTTGGAATATTTCTGCAGATTTGTCTCTTCTCCATTTATTCAGTCATTTACTTATATCAATATGGACTTTGGGTTATAATCTAATACTATTTATTTTATTGCTCTAAATGTTCCAGCTTTGGACATTGGGAGCTCTTTTAGTTGGCTCTGTGTCCCTTTGACATACCCCCACCAGTGTAGGTTTTTGTTTTTGTGTTTGTTTTTAGCTCTTCTTTACTTTCTTGTGTCTAGAATATGCTCCAGGCTCATCTTTTATCTTTCCTATCCCAGTCCTAGAATCAGACATTTCTCCAAGGAGCCCTTGTTCCTGTTACTGAAGAATAGTCTCAAGAAACCAAGATGCGAGCACTAGATATTGTTATATTTGTGGTATCATCTTTTATTCCTCTCTTGTTCCCCATCCTCCACCACATACCAATTGTCAAAATATCATTCTATTCCTACTGCTATTATCCTTATCTCATCTTCAGTACTTGTTAGGTATATGGCCTTGGGGAATTTTTTTTTTTTTTATGTTTATTATTTTTGAGAGAGAGGGGACACAGAATCCGAAGTGGGCTCCGGGCTCTGAGCTGTCAGTACAGAGCCTGATGTGGGGCTCGAATTCACGGACCACAAGATCATGACCTGAGCCGAAGTCGGACACTTAACCGACTGAGCCACCCAGGTGACCTGGCAATTTTTTTTGTAAAGAAGGTATTTTATTTATCTGTATATCTATTTGTTTTTGAGTTTATTTATTTTGAGAGAGAGAAAAAGAGAGAGGGGGTGGGGAGAGGCAGAGAGAGAGGGACTGAGGATTTGAAGCAGACTCTGCGCTGAGAGCAGAGAGCCC